CCGGGGGCTTTTCCCCTCTTTGGGAAACTTTAAAAAAAAGAGTTCCTCTATTGGAAGAGTTTCTCACTGTCCCTGAAATATTTTCAGGATGTAGTAGGAACATGAATCCCCTTTATTGCTTACAATCCTTTATAAGAAAGAATAACTTAAGAGGTGAAAGGGTCTGTGCGAGTGTCCAAGTGAGTTTCCTGTCCTCCAGCAGGATGCCACAGGGACTGTGAAAAAAAAATTTTCTTTCTTACTTTCTCTCTTTATTTTCCCTCACATTCATGTGATATGTGTATACTTTTGTTCTCCGTTTCTTTTTCCTCCTTTTTTTTTTATTGCTTTTTTATTTTTTAAATTGTGATAAAACATACATAACATAAAATTTGCCATATTAACCATATTTAAGTGAACAGTTCAGTAGTGTTAAGTACATTCACATTGTTGTGTCTTGTTTTTCAAACAAAATAGAACAAAGCTTTTAATAACCCAGGTCATGAACATCTTCACTGAAACAGGTTCCTACTCTTTTTTTGTTGCTTAAAGAAAGAGAGAAATAGAAAGTGTTTCCTCTGCATCTCTGTCATGTGTAGTAACTGTAGAATTTTCTATAAAATACGTGAAACTAATGATAGTTTTCAAAGTCAGAGTCATATGTTGTAGCAAGTACTTCAGTTGAAGAAGAAACCATTTCACATTCTGCAAATGGTAGTTCATTCAGTATATCGAACAGAATACAGAGGCATATTGAAAGATTTAGTCCTGTTTGGGGAAATTACTAGAAATCCCAAAAAGTTGCCCTGACGTTATTCCAAATTGAAGATATCATGTTGGGATTCTCTGTTAAGTTGTTCTTTATTGTATTTTGATCCCTTATTCGAAGTGGGGTGGTTTTAAGAAAGTTTGTCATCTTGTGATGGGCCCTGTGAATAATGATTTTAAAAAACAAACAAAAAAAAAGACTCTTACCAAACAACTCACAAATGCAAATGTAACTCACAAATGACTCTCCCTTCAGAGCTGCGGTGACTATATTGATGTTCTTTCATTTTGGGTATCATGTGTCAGGAGAAGTAGGTTCTGAAAAAAGCCACTTTTGTGGAACTTTCCCCTTGGGACAAGGCAGTGTTGCTAGCCAGTCATCACACAATTTGAAACGGTCCTTTGTGACACTGACATTGTCCCCACAGAGTTTGCATCACGTGAGGTGAGACCTCAGTCAAACATTGTTACTAATGAACAGGTGACCAACACAATCCAATGATATGCATAGAATGTTCTCAGGTTTCTCCGAAAGCAAGATTCCTAGCAAGAAAACATTGGAGGGGGTGCAAGAATAGGAAATTCTAAATTTTTTTTGGTTTGTACTTAACTGAATGGATATTACCTACAGCAGACATTACTATTGTGTTTTTATTTTTAACTCGTTACCCAGGTCATATATAAAGTGTTCCCTATACAGGGTGTTCAGATTTAGCAAAAATAAAAATACAGACTTCCCAGTTACATTGAATTGCAGATAAACAAATAATTGTTAATATAAGTATGTCCTATGCAATGTATGTCGCATGCAGTCATACTACAAAATTATTCATTGCTTATCTGAAATTCAAATTTAACTGAGCATATTATATTTTATCTGGTAACCATATTCCTGTAATTTATTAAAAATTGTATTTAGTTGACATATAGAGTTTAATTTAAACTTCAGTATGAAGTTGGTGTTGTCTTCTCTGCTCTTGCATTTTCAGGCACCAGAATTTCTTCTCTAAGCTATTTGCACTGTTTCTGTTTCTCTGTCCATCTCCTTGTGCTTTTACATGAGGAATTAAAAATATATTTTAGTTTTATTTCTTGTTCTAAAGAAGACAGATTTTAGAGATCTAATTCAGTTTTGTGCTTCATATTAAATGCATCAAAATTTCCTTATTGGCTGCATCTAACTTTTCCCATTTTTTTCTCTTCCCTTTTAAAAATGTCCCTACTCATGTTTCAGTTAGCTTAAAACTGTATCTTGAGGTCTTTCACTTTTGTTGTCTCAGAGTTAGAGTTAAATAAATGTTTGCATTTGTACACACACACACACACACACACACACACAAGCACACTTCAATAAATGAGCAGTATGGAAAACAGAGGTCAAGTCATTATAAAGAAATTTTAATTCCATAAGAGAAATGTAATATTCCACTTTCTGTAGAAGTAGGTGAAATAAAGGCCAGAAATAAACTAAAATATAAAGGAAGCTTTATTAGCATTTTAAAGAAAAAGCTCTTATTTATGAACTTGACTTTGTAAAAAGGACTATCAGCTCTGAAAGGCTTAAGAAAAAGTTATCTATATCCCTATTCTTATGCCCCTGTGAACGTAGGTGGTGAGACACCTAAAAGTATAGTCTCAACACACCAAGCCTGTCTTCTGTGATCTGGGTCAAACCAGAATGATTTCAGAAAAAGAAAAATTACAGAAATAAGGATTTAAATGTTTTTATTTTGTTTTAGGTGTTTTTTTTTATGTTAATTGGAATAGACTAGATTTCTTAGAGGGGTAAACCCTACAAAAGGTTACCATACATTTATAATATATAATAATTTGACCCACACTATTATAGTGTTTATGTAGCTCTTCCAATGAAGTTGACCAGAAAACTGGAGATTAATCAGATAGAAAACTTGACCTTACCAATTAACTGAGCCAAATTCGGTATACCCAAAATAGATGTTTTCTATTCATCTTCATTTCAATGTTTATAGCATGATTGATAATTTGCCAGAGAAGCTCTGTCACATAAGTTATTTATTTTTAAGGAAATCTATTCTGATACTGTTTCTACTACCTAAAATTACTTACTCTGAGGCAAGCGGCTTCTTTTGGACAATGACTCAGAAAGGGCAACTGTTGCTTCAGAGACCAAAGCCTCCTAGGCACAGCTCATCATTAGACGTATTACGGAAACTGCCATAATGGGCGCAGTGAAGAAGTCCTGGGGTGTGCCAGTGGTCTGAGGTCAGAGTGAATCAAACAGCCTCAAAAGAAGGGGAAGCCAAAGTGCCTGTGATGATAGGTGGTCAAATTAAACGGTCCTCTCTTCTTGTCTGATCTTGACTAATGTCCCTTTTATGCCATTTTAGTTCTGACACCATCACTACTGAGAGGTCTGATGATTATACATTTTCTATAGGAGGAATAATCATCTTTTAAGATAATGCCCCATGTGGAGATGAGAGCTCCATAAAAAGGAACCATTTTCAATACATCTGTAAGTCTAAGAAACTCCCAGCACCTAACAGATGTAAGGCAGCACATATTCAAAATCCGTTCTGGCACTGCGAGAAGAAGAAAGTGGAGGAACACAGAGAGAGTAGAGGAAATAATTGAATGTTTTGACATTGTGAGAATGTGTAAATGACATCTTTTCTCAAAAGAACTGTGCCGGCAATTCCATAAAACAGCAAATAAATTTTATCCTTCAGTGAAAATAATTATTAATTGGCCAATAGGTCACAGTGCTTTTCACTTTTCTAATTAGTGGTCAAATTGTTTTCATTGGCATTTTACAGAGTGAGTCAAAGAGAGAAATGTATTTATCTGTAGTTTTACTCTCAGCTGTTATGCAAAAGGATGTGATTAAATCCTTGTAATTAAATTATAATCAAACCACACATTGAACAGAATTGTTTTAATAGTTGGAAAGAGATACAAGAACATACATACAGCGTGTGTGAGAAAGTGAGCTAGTTCTACCCATCTCCTTTAGTAAGATAGTTGTTATACTTAAGCATTAAATTTAGCTCTGTGTTTCAAGGAAGGCTGAGGAACATAATGGATTTACATACTTTCGCTCTTTTCATAAAATGCAGCATCAGCTCTTCACAACGTTGCGCTGAGATGCAGTTAGTATTTACACCATAACTGAGCTTTAACTTCTAGATAATTGTGCCTAGATTCTTCAGATATTCCCTATAAATGGGAATAGTTGAAAAACATAATCCATTTTGTACCAGTCCCAGTTTTTTAAAGGTTGTAAACATTATGTGGCATATTTTCAACATTCCATTTTTTATTAGGCATTTTATCAGACACCACCTAACATGAACATGAGTGAAATCGTTGAAAGAGGGACAAGGTGATGTGAAAAGAAAGTAATTTTGTTTTGTATGCTAGATCATGCTTTGGCTTGCTAGGGTCAGTATATGATAAAATAATAACAATAAAGGGGAAAAAAGGAAAAAGGAATGAATCTGTACTTTTAATTATCTTAAAGGTCGTTCGGATCACAACAGAGTCGGTCCCATTGTCGCACCATTTGTGATAATTGAAAGAGCTCAATAAGCTGAAAAAAGCCTGGCCTTGATGATACATTAGTCAGTCAATTAACAAACATTTTGAGCGGCTTTTTCATGAAAAACATTGGGCTAACACTAGGGTAGAGGGATAATAAAATAGATATCTGCTCTAGAGAAGATCTCAGTGGGAGAAAAGGCCCATAAGCAATTATAATAGAATCTAATTCATAATATATGTATATACATTATTTTTAAATTTAGAACTAATGAAGGCTTGTTGACTGATTTTTAACCACACAAAGCAGGTACATAAAGCAGAATTATTTCTTATACTAAGCAAAGGTATTAACCTTTAAATATCTAAATTTCTATCTGTATTCTTTCTCCCTCTCCCTCTCCCTCTCCCGCTAAGGCTGCGCCACACAAATCCCTAAGGATGACTCAGTCTTAGCGCTTGTAAAGTGACTGATCGTTTGCCGCACAGTTATTCACTGTCACTGGGCTTCAGAATCTTCAGGCCAAATAGGGAAATATTCCTAGAATCATTAATATAATTCCAATAAAATTATTTGGGCCCCCTTGAAAAAAACTATGCAGCCAGGCAGAATTTGTTGTTGTTATTTGCTGTTAACCGATTTAAAATAACTTGCAGTTATCTAAATATCATGCCACCCATAAGTGGTAGTGGGATATATTTTCAAAGTTCAAATATTGTTTTCTTTATTACAGGTTTCTTTTCTCCATGGAAAACTCCAAAGCCTGTAAGTTGAAATTATTCTACTTCTTTACTGCTAGTTATTATTACAATTCCATTAAGTAAGATTTGAATGGGGTGACCTCAGAATCTCTTCCTCCTCTGAGATTTGTGATGTCAAAAGAGCAAATCCTCTGTGTAAGAATAACTTGTCTTACTTTCCTATAAAGACAATTCTGTCTGTTTTTTAATATTTTTACAAAATGAGCATCAACGCTCTTCAGTATGGTGTACTGAAAATACTTTAGAAAACTTTGTTTTACCCCTGTCAGAAATACTATCGTTTTTATCACATTGAATTTTTAAAAACAGTACAAATTATAAGCCCAGAGGTCTTGACCTGCAAGTTAAGTCTGGTCCACAAGAAATTTACCTGTATATATATATTTGTGTATTTATATTTACTTTTTAATGTATACAGAGCTAAATATGTGTGTGTGTGTGTGAAAAAAATGTTTTTTTCCTACCAAACCTGACAATCACTCAAAGTGGTGCTTCTGAATCACTCATCACTCAAAGTGGTGAACTCTGCCATCACCTAATCTCTCTGGGCCTAGTTTCTTTATGAATTGTCCTGAAATTTTGATGCTAAGGTACCAGAAGGCTGGTATTTTAATAATCTTTTTGTGAGGCAAGTTTAGCCAAGTTGCCTTCCCAGCTAGAGATGATCTTTACTTGCCGTTAGATTGAAACTAGTAATTATCCAAGTCCCAAGACCTGGGACTGGTTTTCTGGGATCCCATTCTATAGTGTGTTACAATAGTCGACCCTAACTGGAATGGCTAAAACTCATGACTGGAAGAGAGCTTAGCAAAGTGATTCAAGTAACAACAAAAACAAAACAAAACAAAAATCTCAGGGGATCACATCTTCCACCTACTTTTCATTCCTCTCAGAGTAAGCAGCTCAGACAGCAGTGGCCCCTGGTTTGGCCAGTGAGTAGGGAATTCTTGGGTTAATTGCTTCCCTTTTTTCTTTTACTGAGGGAATATTTAACTGCTTGATTTTCTCATTTTAGAAATGGAGATATAATTTTGCATACTTTTCAAGTGCAATAACTGGCTTAATTAAATAACATGGCTTTAAAATTATTTGAAGACAAGTGAAAATAAAATATTATTGAGCCCTGGAATATGCCTGAGCTCCAGGTTCCTCTCAAAGACAGATGAGGAAACCGGAGCTGGTGATGAGCAGCTGAGCTGTCAGAACATTCCAACCAAGCATGTCCTCATTTAGCATTCGGCTCATCTGGTCCACAGAGAATATCAGATGGGAAAACCGGTCTCACTTGGGCCTAGTTAAACCACTTAGTGATGCATGTGATTTTGAAAGAGGTATTTAAAATGAAATTTGTTTTATTTTGACCAAACTCTAAATAATTCCTTCCTTTCACCATCAGAGTTAAATCTGTGCTCTGTGGTTACACACATCTTTATCTAATTTAACAAGGAATCTTGCAACCTCATCCTGGTGCTACAATTATGCAATCTAGTGATTTCCTTATAGGCACCACATTTACACAAATGATACCATTTGGCATAATTACAGCATTTGCTGTCATTACAGTAATTACATCCGTACTCAATAATTCCAAAAAAAGGTTTTATGAACTTAATTTACAATTAATCCTGAACCTATACATCCCTACAAAAGCCAAGGCTTGGAGTTCCAGGTCCTAGGCTAAGTGAAGATAGACGACTGTCAATTTAACATCCTCCATGTATCCACCAGAAACTCTTCAGACTCGGGACTGTGATGACAGGCAGTGTGGTATAATGGTTTAGGGTGCAGGTTCTGAAGGCTTACTGCCTACAGTCAAACTGTGCTTCTTCTCCTTACTAGCTATCGTACCTTCCACTAGCTACTTAAGCTTTCAGTATTTCAAGTTCATCTATAAAATGGGGATGATAATAATACTCCTCTCATATGGTTACTCTGAAGAGTCTGTGGCTTAGTCCATGTAACGTGCTTAAAGCAGAGCCTCTACATGCTCAAAACTAGAAACTATTGTCATCCTAGAAAGCAGACCCTCCATGCATAAACCCTTAATAAATTAATCACCCTATGAAATGAAGGTAGTTTGCAAAACTATTCACTTCAACAAATATATATATAAACACATACCCGCTGTATTTGGATTTATACACTCTCTCCTCTGAAAGAGGATTGATGACATCCTTAGTCAGGATAAGGAAATGTTACCTTGCGTGAGGTCTCTCCTTCTCCCAGTCTTGTGTCACTTCCTGACACTGTTCCGTCCTGCTGATCCACACCTTAAGCTAATCCACATCAAGATAGTCACTTCTGGGGCCTCCCTGGTGGCGCAGTGGTTGAGAGTCCGCCTGCCGATGCAGGGGACGTGGGTTCGCGCCCCGGTCCGGGAGGATCCCACATGCCGCGGAGCGGCTGGGCCCGTGAGCCATGGCCGCTGAGCCTGCGCGTCCGGAGCCTGTCCTCCGCAACGGGAGAGGCCACAGCAGTGAGAGGCCCGCATACTGCAAAAAAAAAAAAAAAAGAAAAGAAAAGATAGTCACTTCTGTTTAGCAAGTAATACATTAATTATAGTGGGTTCTCAGTCTCTCCATCTGGAAGGAATCCAAGTTCATTCTTCAAGTACTGAATCAAGCCAAAAGCCTTCATCTCCCAGCCCTGCCCTAAAATCCTGAGGAGGTGTGTTTAGGCTACCCCAGCTTCTACAGGAAGCAAACAGTTTGTAGAGTTTTCACGGGGAGGACAACTTGCCTTGTTCACAAGCCCTCTGTTCCCAGTGTGCATCCTAGAATCAGAAGGTGGAGTTAAAAAACTAATATTAACCACACCATGATCAGGTTTTTCTGTTTTACTCTTTGATATCCCGTTGTGGACTGTATGTCCACCCTGTCCACTGATACTTCAGTGACTATCCTTTCATACAGTTAGACATTCACTCATTCGTCAAGGCCAACAGAGATACAAGGCTCCTGCCATATAAAGAAAATGATTTTGTTTTCATGTTTCTTACTCTAGTTAGGTGTTTATAAATATTAGCCTAGGTAAGGACACCACTGGGACCGGACAAGATTCAATCAGAAGCCTTGTTGAGAGGCAAACGCCGGCAGGAAACACAGTTCTCTTGAGGTCAAGGCCAGGAAGACTCTAGGTGGCGTAAGGGGATGGGATCAGAATCTAGGTGGTTCACGAAGATTGAGAGGAACAAGTGAGCACAAGATGTCCGGCTAGAAAGCAAAAGCGCAAAGACCAAGCTATCTAAGAAAGTAGGGAGAAGTCAACAAAGGGCACCTTTCAAAAGATGTTGTCAGATCAGCACACCAGTCCCAGAAAGCAGAGGGTGCCCTCTGATCCCAGGGCAGGGGGTTTGCTCCATGGTCTTCTGTGTCTAGGGGGCGGGGGTGTGAAGGACTGCAAGTCTGCCTTTTCAGTATTTCACGGGCGCTGTGATTTTCTGCTCTCCAGTCTTACAAATCCCTGACAGAGTGACTTGAGGGTTTATGCATGTCACAGCAAGACATTGTGAATGCTCTACTAAGCCTGAACTGGAATCAGTGAATTTCTCCATCTCTGCTATAGAAATTGTAGAATTTGTCAATCCGCCGCAGAAACTTTCCCAAACAGTGCCCAAAGCGTTATTTATTTTGTAGTTTTCAGAATGTTTTTTAGAATACTAATATTTCACCTGAACCATGTTTGCTCCAGTGACTGCACGTGGACAGTGCATATACCAGCAAGACTTATGGAGGAATCAGATAACCCTCCGTGGAAGATGGGAGAAAGAAATAGACATTTGCTGAAGCCCTATGACAAGTGGGATACTACAGTGATTCAGACCATACTTCTAATTTATTTACTTTTTAGAATTTAGTATCTTATGTTTGGAAACAGAAGGGAGAAAGTCATAGCCAGAATGTACCCACATGGTGCCTAAAGTCAGTTAAAGTGAAAAATAAAAAAATATGCCTTTAGCCACAATGTGGGTCTTCCTGTCATAGCAGAGGCACAGAGAATGGATGGTCAAAGGAACCCACCATGGCTTCGTAGGCAAATTTTGCTTTCAAATGAATTATGAAGCGCATATTTAAAGATTTTTACTAAACGGGAGCAAAAGGGTCACTGAGCAGAAAATTAGCCAGAACTCTAAACAAATTTACCAGTTATTCCCCTCAATGTATTATTATTGCAAATAGCACTCCCATTATAGTTATAGATTGGTTTCTGACCCAGGGTATGCCACTGACAGCTGCTGGACCTCTCTATGTTCCTAGAGATTATGTTTAATATTAGGGGTTTTCCATCTTTGTTAGCTATAGAACCTTTGTTCAAACGAAAGCTTGGTCAGTAGCCCATATAGAAAACAAATTAAAATGAAGCCAGTTGTCTTAGTTTCTTCCAATAGCTATAATAAAATACCATAGACTGGTGGCTTATAGAAAACAGAAATTTATTTCTCATAGTTCTGGAGTCTGGAAGTCCAAGCTCAAGGTACCAGAAGATTCAGTTTCTGGTGAGAGCCCACTTCCTAAATGGCCATCTTTTTGCTGTAACCTCACCTGGCAGAAGGGACTACAGGGCTCTCTGGGGTCTCCTTTATAAGGGGACTAATTCCATTCATGAGGGCTGTCGCCTCATGGCCTGATTATCTCCCCCGAAGCTCCACGTTCTAGTAATATTACCTTGGGTGTTAGATTGTCAACATAGGAATTTTGAGGGACCTCAAACATTCCGACTGTAGCACCAGTCTTATTGAGAGAAGGGTCAATGACCCATTTCTTTCTCAGTTTGCTGGCTTACTTGACCCCTGCCACAGTCCCAAGTACATAAGTGGGTCACAGGGACCTTTGTGTTACACAAGGACACAGTACATAGTACCTCAAATCCTCTCTACCTTTAAAACATTATCACTGATAGGTGACAGCTGGCTTTGGAGCCCTGCCCAAAATGTAGCCATCATGAAAACGGAAGCAGGACAGTGCAATAGGGGCCCGAAAGTTATAATCCTGTCAAGCTCAAAATAGTGTGTATCAAAACTGGTTTTAAAGAAAGAACAAGTGACCATATGTTACTGATGATTTCATTCAGTCACTAAATTTACATTTTCTGAGCACTTGCTATATATTGGTAATACAACAGTGGGAGAGACTGCATCCCCTGCAGTCTCTGTCCCCAACATAATCTATTTGCAGAGACAAAGGTAGACTCGCAATTACGGTTGAGTGTGAGGGGTAGGTAGAGGGTGCTGTGGGAGCACCCAGAAGGGACAAGTAACCAGATCAGGAATGGTCAGCAAAGGCCTTCTAGAGCAGGTGTCTCATCTGAATCCAGTATCCAGGTATAATGAGGACGGGAGATGGAAGAGTGGAAAATGGGTAAACTTTGCAGGCAGAAAGAGAAAGTATGCAAGGGTTCAGAGGCTGGAGAGAACCTGATGGATTACAGGGAATGAGAGGAGAGACCGTCAGTGGATACAAGAGAGAGAATCAGGACCTGGGCCCTCAGGAGCCACTGTATCCCACTCGAGAGCGGCCTGAGGACCACGCTCAGCCAGTGCAGAATTTTAGACAAGAGGGTACCCTAATATCGTTCTGCACACAGCAGGTTTAGTCAAAGCAGAAAAGCTGAAGTTGAGTTTGAATGAGCAAGAAGCTGATGATTGAAGCTGGCTGTGCAAACAGGTGATCTCGGTGAACGCGGCTTTCTCCTTGATAAAAAGGAATGAGTCCCTGCTCTACCTCACGGGGCTATAGTGAGGATCAAAGAAGATAACGTATATGAAAGAGCGTAGTATTCTACAGACCATTAATAAATTATGATGGTAGCAGCAGCAGCATTTTGGAGAAGAAACCACCAGATCAGCAGTAAATGAGGCTTCGTAGACGATTTTTGAACAATTCAAAAATCCCAAAGGGTTGTATAATTACTTATAAACTGTGAGGAAAGTGATTGAATGTTCAAGTGTAGGAGGTGCTTCGGATATGCATAGGTATGAGATGGGTGCATGCAGACGACGTCATCTTCTTCTTTAGTAAAAATGGTGTAATGAATCGGGGCCATCTTAGAAAGGAACAATACCACACAGTCATAAGCACTGACAGATGAATTATCTTGAGATACATATTGTCTTTATTTTATAGGGAGAAAAAACAGACTGACAGATTAAGTGATTTGCTGAAAATTACTAGTAGGTGACAAGGTTATGAAAGTTTACATTCAAAAGTCAGGCAACACACACATGTATAACCATCTGTGCTGCTTTATTATATAGAAATAGAATCTCTCAAGGCACTTATACCAAAGTTTTGAATGTTTTGTGAAAGAAAAGTCTACAGGGCAAGAAAGTCAAACTTAAAGGTGAGGGCTGTGGAATGCGACAAGGGAAACAGCAAGAAAGAGTTCATTGTCAGTCATTTTCTCTGTTCTCTTTCACTTTCCAGATAACAGACCGATGGGAGAATCAAGGCAGTCCTCAAACGAGTCTATCTGCTCCGGCCATACCGCAGAACCTGCCCTTCCCACCCGCCCTTCACAGGAGTTCATTTCCTGACTCAACAGAGGCCTTTGACCCAAGGAAGCCTGACCCATATGAGCTCTACGAGAAATCTAGAGCCATTTATGAAAGTAGGCGTAAGTGAAAGCCACAAAAAACAAGGGTGTATTAATAACAGCTGAAGCCCTGACAGGAGATATATTGAGGCTGAAATGATCTGGCGTGGTGATTTTATATTCTGAGCTTCAAAATGTATCTCAAAAGTAAAGCCAGCTGATCGAAACTTTTCTTTCAAAAAGAAAGAAAAAAGCCTGTCAACTCAGAAAAAGCTTATATCTTTTGGTTTTAAATTTTGTTTCCTACTTTATTCCCCCTAAGCCCCTGAGAAAAATCAGGAATGTATTTGGGGGGCCAGGGGTGGGTCATGGGGGAAGAGGTTGCTAGTTTTATTTAAGCCACCAGATAATAAGAAGAAATGGTTGGGATTTTTATGTTTAATCTGATCTTGAATCTGAAGCCTAGATTTCCTTAGAGCCATGAATGTAGTCATTGAAGATTTTAGGAATGTGAGTAAAATGTTAGCCAAGTCCTTCCAACTCACAATGGTGAAAGTAATGGTTCCGAAAGCAACACAGAGCAGGTACCAATCACTTCTACCTGAAGTTCCACTTCTTGTTTAATGCACTGGGGCCCATTTGAAAGTTAACTCGTCAAATATCGTGTAGGCACTTGTCATCCTATTTGAAGGTCTTCTAAAATTATTTCATTGCGCTTTATAAATATTAGAAAACAGAGCTTTTTAATATTGCATATACGTTCATTGTGCCTCTTTCCACCATCTCACAGGTCATCTCTTTTGAATGTTAGAGGACAGGAATCCAAATGGCATGAATGTATAATATATGAGGAAAATACACAGTACAATATGAACTTGAGTAATGGATTGAAAAAATTAGCCTAGTGAGAAGGGTTTGGTTCTGGGCGCTCCCATTTACGGTCTGCTGACTTCCTTTGTTTTGGTGTTCCGCCAGTGTCTTCTTTCCAACTTTATCATCTGAAGCATGAATAGCAAGTTTTAAGTTGTGTGTTATCTCAGAGGATCTCAAATCTGCTTACTCTTTGATGAGCCCAGGGGCTGAGAATTACACCCCCAGCTGGTAAGGGGAAAAGTAGACATATCCCTTTGCCCATCCTCTACACCTCTCTGTAAAAGTAATTTTGGTTGATAAGCTAGTTAGGACAGTGGGCCATTGAGAAATCATCTTTATCAAAATGAACGTCCACCACCCCGCCCCTCTGCCACTTTATAAAAATAATTGGCTATGTCAGGCCTGCTGTATTTGATTCTTCTCCTTCTGACAGAACGACTGAAATGTCTTTAAAGGGCTGTACAGTGAGAATGTTTTTGCTGTGATAGAATTAGAACGAAGTAGGCATTTTTCACTGTATGATACAGGGTATGAATTCAGGGTATTAATGGTCATTATACTGAAAAAACTTGACAAAATTTCAGCACAGTTCTTAATACCTTCTCTGCTTCGATAACCAAGTATTTATTGGATACCCACTTGGCCCTCAGTACCATGGGGAGATACCAAAGTTGAGTAAAATGTCCTGCTCTCACGAATTTAACTGGGAGACAAGAAGAATAAATATAAACAAGTAGAGATCAGGATACAGGTGAAGTTCTAACTCAGAAGGTGGAATATATCATCCTCCTGTCCTTGGCTTGTTGAATTTTGTGGTTACCTGTAGGGAGCGTCAAGAGATGCTTCCTCCTGTTTTTGTCCCTTCATTAGTCATTTATTCCCATCCTTTTGCTGTTTCCTGACCAATGCAAGGCTTTATTATTCAGGACAAAGGCAATGTTGGTATTTATTCCGTCTTTTCTCTATGGTGTCTGATGCTGTTGTGTCCTCAGTTTGTGAGCAGGAATTGTGCATGACCTTCTTTTCAACCCTAAACGAATTCCGATTTCTTTAGCCAGCCCCTGCAATGCTCCTTCTCTTCATTGCCCTTCCGCTCCTCACCTGTAACAAACCTAGCAAACCAATCTGCCTTAACCTCCCACGACTTTCTTTATCAGTCCTCCTCTGGGAGCTCTGTACCCCCTTTGCTTTGCGTCCTAAGCCACTTGAACAACAAAATCCTGACTGCCTGCGGAGCCCTGCATGTGCTCTGCGGCTGCCTCTCTCACCTCACAACCCCCACCCCACCCCACTTCTTGCTTTCTCAGCTCTCTCTAATGTTTCTAAGGTCACAAAAATGTTTTCAGGGTCACGACTCTTAGGAGCCAAAAGAGGGCAAACTCATTTCCTTTCCCATCCTTCTCTTTCTATCCTGTTATTTCATGACACTAAATAGAGTGTGAATGAAACACAGAAATCATGTCAAGGTAAGAAAAACTCTGCCCTGAAGACGAAGGAAACCAGAAAAACACGGCACCGCTTTCTCTAATCTCTGGATAGCTAATCGGTTCGGTCTGTTTTTCTCAGTTTCACGTACCAGGGTCTTGATAGAACAGAACAGACCTTTGCCCTCTATATACAACCTGTTTCCAAGTGTGGAAAAAGTTTCATTCTCTCATTTAAAGTTTCAGAGCAATGCTCAAAAAGAATGTTTTGTAATGAACGGAGGGAAAGCTCAATCTATTTCTCATCATCTTCAGATAGGGTTTTCTTTTAATGACCGTGAAATGCATGCATCTAAACAAAAGACCCATATTTGAAATTTTGTGAACCACTCTATTCTTATTCTTTTGAATTACATGCATAACATTTAGCTTTGGCTCTATTTATTCTGTGTCCCCAAACTTTTTCCTTGGAGAAAAAATAGTGGGACCACAGAAAGTACGGAAGGGAATCCTAACCAAAGCTGTCTAAACCAAGTCCTTTGACATTTTCCCTGACCTGTAGTGATCTCATGGTATCCTCCTTTACAGCTAGGTCTAATGCTGAACAGAATTTTTGCATCCACGTTCAAAACTGGGTTGCAGTAACCAAATAAAAGAATGTACCTCCACCCACAAGCTTCTGCTATACAGAGCTACAGAATGTTTGTTATATCCAGGCTGTCAAGAAGTATTTGGATTCAAATCACTAGTCCCCTGCAAATGATGGAAATTTATCAAATGATGTAAATGATGCTGTGCCTCATTTGGCTCGTAATTAGATTATGCTGACATTTTAATACGCATGTACAGGACATCTTAATAAAGATGTATTCCTGAAAAAAAAAAAATGCTGTGATTTTAAACAAAGACAACCGTAGGATACTAGAGCCACAGGAAACAGAACATGGCAAGTACAAGCTTACGAGGGGAAGGCTAGAAACACCTCCTGTCTTCATAAGATCTTCTTATGATGACATGGGACTTGAGAGGAAGAAGATTCTTCCACCCAGCAGGCAAGGCAATGCCTCTGACTTCAGAGCATCAGGCAGGGTGCCCAGAAGTGGCGTCTTCAGGCTCCACATCAATTAACAAGAATGTATGAAACAGTATGTGTCTAGACTCTGCTGCGCGCTCCACAAGAGAAAAATCATGAGACGTAATCTCTGCTCACGTGAAGCTTACAGTGAAACTGGGGACAAAAACATAGGAAAGCAATTCCTGAATGACATTGTATTATATCACAGAGCAAATAATATCAGTATTTTAACAAGCAAAATGTGCAGTAAATATAGACA